CTCTCTCTCTCTCTCTCTCTCTCGCGGTCACTCCTAAATCTTCCCCCTCTTCCTAAACAACTAAATGTCATGTTGCTATATCATTTTTTGATTGGTCGACATGGTGCATTTTTCCACCAACACGAACGGGTTGTTTGTTGTTTTGTTTTCTTGGTCATAATCAGAGAGTGCTCGCAGCGCTGTGCTTAGACAGTAAACATGACGAAACTATTCAGGAAAAAACGCCGCGTACATATTGTTTATCATGACTCTGGTTTTGCGTGGCCTATCAACTCAATTTAAAAACTTGTTGCTTTGTCATCTTGAAGTGGTCATGTGATTGGCTTACCACGACTACTTTATTCTTCCTCAGTCAAACAGCAGCACTCGTGCGATTGTTTTGCCCCCTGAGCTCCAGGTGTTTTGCCAAAAACTGATCATCTGGCAGAAAGTGATCACTGTCCGCGGGAGCGTGCAGCTGCTTAAAGCTGCAGCGCCCAGGTTACTTGCAGCTACTTCCTGCAGCTGATATAAGATGCGGTAAACTGACACAGCTTCAACCGTCTGTTTGTTGAAAAATAGTAACACGACTGCATTTTCTTGTTAGTAACGGTAACGGCATTGTAACGATAGAAATAGTAATTAGTTAGATTACTTGTTACTGAAAAACGTAACGCAGTTAGTAACGGCGTTACTTGTAACACGCACACACACAAACACGCACACACACACCCTCAAAAACAGCGACAAAAAGAAAAGCCCCAGTGCCTCAGGGAAGAGTAACACATGCTCGTCATTAAAGTTCATAAATAATTCCTGATCACATGTGGGAGGTGCTGTTTCCCAAAGCTCTGATTGTTAGCCCTGCAGGGGGTGTTTTTGTTTTTTCTGATACTTCTGTCAGAAATATATATTGCAATATATACGTTTTTAAGGATTTTTTTTTTTAAATTGAGACATCAAAAGACATGCAAAGGAAAACATTTTTTAGTGTTTAGATCTTTATGACTCATAGAGTGCTTCAAACACCTGTCCTGTAATAATATAAGATAAGGAAATTGATGATGAGGATGAACCCAAAACATACACATACACATGTGGTCAGACAAGATAAACAAAGTCTCTATAACATAAGATAAACACTCAGTCATTAAGTCCAAAATGCAATAAGAAGTAATATATACATCTTTATTGGTCCCTACCAAATGCTCAACACTGTTGATTTACTATGTTATTATTGTATAAACTTGCCCCACAAAAACTAAAAAAAGAGAGGAGAAAGTATAGATACCATGACGGCTATAATTCAGATACAAATTAGCATAACTTCATAATATTCTTCCAAAAGCAAGTTTCAAAAAGTTCTTTT